TACGATTGATGCGGATCAACTGGCTAGGAGCTGTCCGGCTCGGCAGCCTTCTGCTCCTGTGGCTTGTGCAGCGCCTCGACGAGTGCCGTGAGCCGGTCGATGCGCTCGGCAAGCTCCGACACGCGCATCTCGACGGGTGTTGGGCCCTCCATGCCGTCGTCCTCGCGTTCGTCCGCCTGGTCACGAGCCGAAGAGTGGCGTGGCGACGGCAGACCGGGGCGCTGCGACGACGAGGGCCGGCCCAGACCAATCTGGCGGTGCGGCTTCGTGATTTGCGACGAGGTGCGGGGGCCCGCGAAACCGGCAAACTCGTCCGGCAGGACGCGACGGCGGATGAGCTCGTACAGTTGAATGGCGCCGACGATGGGCAGGTGCGTGGCCTTGAGCAGGAGGATGCGGCCGGCGCGGAACTTGTTATCCGAAGGGAGGATGAGGCGGAGTGGGCGGAAGATGACAAGGGCGACGAGGTTGAAGGGCGGGTAGAAGTGCGTGAGGCGGTTACTAGTCGAGGCCTCGAGCACGTAGACGCTGTAGACGTAGAGGTATTCCTCGCGGGCGTGGGTAATGACGCGCGAGAACGAGTTGGAGAGCATACCGGTGAGCGAGCCCATGAGGAGAATGGACGAGAGCGTGACGAAGAGAATCATGAGCGGAGGTCCGAACACGGGGTCAATGTCGCGCATAATTTCGAAACCGACGAAGCTCGAGCCGAAGAAGATCTTGGTCAGGTTCATGGCCATGTGACGCAGAGGGAACTTCTCCTTGCCGATAAGGGAGAAGGTTGTGAGGAAGCCGAGGTAGATGATGACGACGAGGACCATGAATTTGACGAAGTCCTTGCCCATCTGCAAGGCGGTGTCAGTCAAGGTCGTGGAGAAGCGGTCAGAAAGCTCACCTCGCGGAGACAGGGGATCAAGGTGCCAAAGTACGGGGACAAGCTGAGGAATGAGAAGATACGCGGCACCATGAAGAGTGCCTCGAGCGAGAAGACGTTAAAGGCCAGATCAGTGATGTACTGGTCGTCGTTGACAAGACCAATGACCCCTGAACGTCGTTAGAACTACCAGGAACGATGTGTTTATCACGGGAGGAGGGCTTACTCAGAATGGCAAAGGTAACGCCGATACCGATCATGATCATGTCGAAGAGGTTCCATATATCAGCAGCATAGAAGATGGACCCGGCATCGTTCCACTCGCTCAGTTCATCGTAGCAGAAGGCAGCGAACCAAACGTACAGCGTCGCCTCGGTGGGCGTGATTCTCTCCGTGTTGAGCTCGACAAGGACACCGTAGTAGAGGCACAGGAAGACGGCGAAGAAGAGAGCCTCCCAGGCCTTGAGGTAGCGCGGCACACGGAGGCGGCTAAAGGGATCGGCGGTGCGTGCGTTGTAGAAGCGCGGCTTCTTCTCGGCATGGATCGAAAGGCTGTCCCAAAAGACAATGTCGCCGTTCCAAATACCCGTGATGATCTTCTGCACGACATGCTGGCTGAGGAAGCGCTTGGCGTCGGCAATGGCGGCGATCTCGAGGGCGTTGAGGGACTTGAAGGGGGCCGTTGGGTCGTCCTCGTCGTCGCTTTCGCAGTCATCGTCGTCGCTGGCATGCATGCTCATGGTGAGCCTCGACAGCGAAGACAAGAGCTGATAGCGCTTGGTGCTGCCGGCGCCAGCGGGGCGGGGGAGCGAGTGACGGCCTGCACCAGCATTGGACCAGTTGGGCGAGAGGAGGGGCGACTGTTCGTTGCTCTCCTCGTCGCCGTTGCCGGGAACCTGCTCGCCTTCCTGGTTGTCGGGAATATCGTAAAGGCAGAAAGCGACGGCCTCACGCTCAGACAGGCGGGTCAAGAAGCGCCAGGCGACAATCTCACAGGCATCGGCACGCGCCTCAGCGAGGTTGCGATTGTAGGAGTCGCCTTCGGTAGCATAGTGCCACCGCAGAGCGCTGGTAGGGGTGTCAGTCTGGGCAGGAGGGATCCTTGGGGGATGAAGTAATGAAAATAGAAAACTGACAGCAGGGCATTGACAATGGCGGGGTTGGTGCAGGTTGCGTTGAGGTGATCTACGAGCAGCCTCAAGCTATCGCCGGCAGTCGTAGTGCGGAGCTGCTCAAAGGTGCTCGGCAGCTGGATGACCTCGGCAAAGTAGACGGACAGCTTCTTGATGACCTCGCGGAAGCCCTCGTCGACCCCAATGTCAGGCAGCAGGTTGGCGTCCCAGTTCACGGACATGGGACTGGGCTCACGGGCGGCCGGCAGAGGCCGCGACTTGACACGCATGGGCATGATGGGCTGAGGGGTTGCTTGACTTGTCTCGACAGGACCTTGGAGCCAATGGATGACGGGCGGGCAGCCTGTGCTTCAAAGTGAAGCCAGCAGACAGCTCGGATGAAGAGAAGAGGCCAAGACAGACGGGCGTGATGGTGAGGGGAGAGAGGAATGGGGAAGGAGGAGGTCGGTGAGGGTCGAGATGCCAAGCTTTGGTCGCAAACTGTGGGGACGATTCCACGATAGGAAGGATGCCCATGGCGGGATGCTCCTGGCCGATGCCCATATGGCCATGGGAACTCCCAGGGGGATTTTCCCTGGCTTCCCTGGCTGCAATAAAATAGTAGGGGACAGACCCCTGAAGGACAGCGGGGTTCCCAGGGGGGGGGGGGGGGGGGGCCGTGCCGCGCTGTCGTGACGCGCTGAGCGCCGTGCCGCTGCCTCGGTGGTGCATGTGCACAATCTGTGCCTCCTTGCCATTGCAAGCTTCTTTTGTTCAGGTCTGTGGACTTGATGAGGAGATGGCCACGAAACGATGATCATCGAAAGGCACGCCGGCTACTGCTACCTACCTTACTATCACCGAACCGTCCCAGTACGTCGGCTCGGACTATATGCAGGGATCTGCACATGGCAATGCCCATTCGTCAATCGATCTCGCATCCAGCACCTGCTTTTATTAGGCACCACAGGTCAGCAGCCGTGCATCAAGTCGAGACACTGACTGGTAGTAGGGCCGGCTTAGAGATTGCCTGCGGAAACCATCTTCAGCTCTCGTCATGACTCCTTTCTTCATTTCTCACTTGCCGGTACTCAGTTGCGCCGACTTGGAAGCACCGGCCGCGTCAACCCAACATCAGACGACCATTTCGTCCGACTATGGCCAACGGCAGCGAGGCGCTGCCAGAAGCCATCATCAATCGGTGACACTTTACCGTAGCGAACGAAAACCTTACATCGTCCTCGGCCTCACCATTCTATCGATTACTGACAGTACAAGGTTTAATGATCATCTACTAGGCGCGACAGACTGAACCAGTCTCGGTTGTGACCACGCCAACTGACGATATCAACATGGCAAGTACTACGTAGCAGGCAGCTCGGGCCAACGTGGGTGTTGTTTGAGGTCCGCTCCGGGTCACTCGTGGCTGGGACCAACGCCTTCCCCCCCACCCCCTCCGAACGGGGCTCATCCTAAGGTAGGTAGATGGGAGCTCTGATGCGGATCCTCGTTTCCAGACTCGGAGCTGCCCCATTGGTTGCTAGGCAGCTCGGGCGAGGGTCACAGCAACAGCCAGGGACAGAGAAAGAGTACCGTAGCAAGAAAGAAAAAGCAAGTCTTGATGCAGGGATTGCGAGTGAGGCTATCCGATAGCCACGAAAACGACGGCGACGAAGACGAATTATCAAGAGGCGCCTTTTTTCCTCTCCCCCGGCCAAAGTCATCCGATAAAGACGGATGGCGAAAATCTGGCAACGGGAATCCAGTCGCAACGATATCCAGAATCCAGTCAGACCCCCAGCGAGCCAGCCCAGGGAGGCCAGGCACAGCCACGCTGCGGTCTAAAAAAAGGTTGTCATGCTAGGCGTGAAGGCATCTGGGGAGCGCTCAGTGATGCCGCTAGCACTGCACGAGACAGTGTGAAGACCTGGGCGGGCCTGTGTGGCTTACGTGCCGTTGAGCACTCATCGCGACAGTGCCCAAACGTGTTCGACCCCGCATCTGTGGCGAGATCGACGCGTGCACCGCCACGTCTTCCCAGTGGAAAACATTGGGAAAGCACTGAGAAAGCAGCGAGCCGCGACCCCAACCTCCCATCTCACCCAATCCTCCCCAATCAAGCGACGAGATCATCGTGCAAGGTCCCTGACTTGTCCATTAGTGTGCCTGTCGTAGGGTCAGACCTGCAGCGGGAGGCCCAGACCCGCAGGAAAAGGCCCCCCTCCCCCTTCAATGACGCCCCCAAGCCCCGCCACCCTGGCGGGAGCCCAGCCAACGAAGGTGTGGGACTGCGGCCGAGAGCCAGAAAGCCCATGACGATGCCTGCACCTGCACCTGCCACCTGCTTTTTCCAAAGCCCAAGCAAGACTCATACGGCCTCGTGGAGGGACTTGATTTCCATTACCTTTGCCCTCTCGTAAGGTAGATAGATGGGAGTTGAGGCAAAAGAGTTCTGACAAGGGCCAATGACTTGGGATCTCACGTATTGTCGTTTCAGCCCTGTGCTTTCCATCTTCTCACGACGATGCCGAGGAAGGGGAAGCAAAGCCCCCCTCCATCCCTGCCACTTAGTTGACTTCCCTGCAGGGTCTAAATTTGCCTTCAGACGTCGTTCTTTCTTGGCCGTGCCGTGCCTGGCCTGGCTCGCTGGCTTAAGGTCCTTTCTTTTGTCTCGCAGGTGCCCAGGACGCACTTGCCTTGTCGTGCTCCTTCTCTCTCTCTCTCTCTCGTATCGCCTCCCTTCTCTTGTTGCTTCCCCAACCAACCCAAACCGCTGTACGGATCCAAATCACCGACTCTTGCCATGGATCCCGCTGGTCGCTGCCCGCCTTGAGACACAGCAGCAACACCTGCCAAATTGCAAACCGTATCAAACAGCAGCCGACTCCCAACGGATAGATTTACTTCTCACCACCTCCCATTTCCAACAACACTACTTATCGGCATCCATCGCGCGAGACACAGCGTCACTCATACGACGCCTCTTCAAGAAAAGAAGAAGCTACGAAGACGCCATGTCGCTAGTTCATACCATGCTCCCACGGCTGCCTTCTGCAACGGCCATTCTGTTGCTCACCTCTATTCTTGCGCCAGCCAACGCCCACGTGCTACCTCGCCAGACGTTGACGATTGACTACCGCCAACTCGACGTCCTCCCGTACCCGCCGCTACCAACTGCCGCTTCGCTGTTGCCTTACGACCTGCTGAGGAGGCAAGAGGAGAATACGATATGTGGCTACGTCGGCGGCGACCCTGCCCTTCCCGCCACATGCTCGGCCGGCTCGCACTGCGTTGTGGACCAGGGCGTAGGCGCCATCGGATGCTGTCCCAACGGCGGCGGCGCATGCACGACGGGTGTCTTTACCGGCTGCGTTGACGCCAACAGCGGACCCCAGACCGAGCTGAACCCCTATGTCTTCACTTGCGTCGGCTCCGACGTTTGCTACAGGAACACCTTTGAGGGCGGAAACTTCCAATACGGCTGCGGCTCCGCCTCGGACATGGCTGCCACCGTCGTAGCTACCGCCTCCGGCGTGACGGCCCTGCCTGCACTCGAGACCGTTTCGGCGCCCCTAACGGCCACGCCTAGCCAGCTGTCCGAGCCTACGACGCTCGGATCTGTCTCCAGCGGCAGCCAGACAACGTCAACCGCATCGTCGACAGACACCTCGTCCAGCAGCAGCGCGTCTAGCTCGGCGTCGTCTTCAACGTCGACAGACGACTCGTCTCTACCTCGGCAGCCGCTGAATCCTCTACCGCCTCTGGCGAGCCTGTCACGGAAGCGCCAGATGCGTCTTCCTCAGGTGGTGTCAACAAGACTGGGGCCATTATCGGAGGCTCCATCAGCGGCGCCGCCGTACTCATCGGTCTGCTTGTCGTTGGTCTCTTCTGCTGGAAACGAAAGCGTGGCAATAAGCGCCAAGGACCTGGTCCCAAGGAGAATATTCGCTACATTAGGTGAGAAACCCACTTCTGCGCAACGAAAAAGCAGAGCGGCCTTTGCTAACTATTTTTGCAGCCCCATGACCGGTGCCTCTGGCTTCGCTCCCATTGGATCTGGTCGAGACACGTACGAGCAGGCCTACATGCCAGGCCAAAATGGCAATCAGACGACCATCATCAGCAACAAGGGCATGGCGCAGCCCGCCCATCATCCCACGGCCGAACTCGACCAGCCGTTTGGCTATGGTCCCTCGGGCGAGGTCGTTCCCATGCGCGCAACGCACAACGCCCAGGGCGGCAGCGGCAATGATGACCAGGTGCCGCTGACGCAGGAGTACGACGAATTCTCACGTGGTTTAAACGAAGCTCTGACGCGCATCGACGAGGAGGACAGCCGGCCCGCGACGGCCGTCAACAATAGCAGCATGAGCGGCAGCGGCAACGCCTTCACCCCATCCGCCGAGGACGAGGCGGACCTGTCGCCAACGCGACGCTACGTCCGAGGGAACGGCGGCGGCCCGCTGTGGCAGCAGAACCGCCAGCAGAGCAGCCGTAACATGATGTGGATGTAAGCGGGCCTGTTGGAGGAGGACTTGATGTAAAAATAAACTACGAGACCTCGAGGGGTTTAGACTTGGCGACGACATGATGACACCCCCTATTGGTGGAAGGACATGACGGTAGGATACGGAAGAGAGGGACACACGAAACGGACTGGGGGAGGAACAGGCGGGGGGAAGCATCTATATGGTTTGCATAGCGGTTTGATGTCCTGGTTTGGGCTGGCGTTTGTCGGAGCGGGCGGCTTCTTTTTCCCTGGTGCTGGCTGAGGGGTCACTGGCGACTAGCCTTTCTGTAGCGTGTAATGAACGACACTGGCGGTTCTGGATGCGATCTATTCGAGGTTCGTTGATGACTGTGTCGTGTCATTGTGATGTGCGTCAAGTGGAAGATAGAGTGAATGGGTGGCGCAGGGGCGATATGCGCATCAATGTACACGTCAACATGCCACTTTTGAGGGATCATTTGAGGTACGTGGCTCGCTATGTTCACAGATTAATTTCTTCTAAATGTGCATCTTGTATTGATCATTACTATAAATCATGCATCCTCATCCCTCTCATGTCTTCATATCATATACGTATGTCTCTCCTACAGAGCAGGCGTGGCCGTAGGCAGACAGGCGCAGGCGCTCGAGGCCCGCGCGACGGCGTCACCGGCGCAGTTCTTGACGGCGTGGGACGGCAGGGCGGCGACATCGCGGACGGGCCGGCTGAGGAAGTCGTCGCAGAACTCGCGCGACTCGGCGAGGCGGCCGGGGACCGAGGTGGCGCGGAAGGAGCGCAGGCAGTTGTCGGCGTTGCAGACGGGGGCCCGTGGGCAGTCGGTGCCGGTGAGCTTGACGGTCCAGGCGCCGCGCTCAATCGAGTTGATGAAGACGTAGCCCGACTTGAAGTAGGCGTAGCTGGACCAGGTGCCGAGGAACTCGACGTCGCCGCCGCCGGGGAGGTTGTCGTCCTCCGGGTAGAGGTCGAACCAGGCGACCTCGCAGACGGAGGCGCCGGTGGGGTCGCGGGGGATGGAGCTGACGTCGAAGACACGGAGGCCGGCGCCGTAGTTGGACTGGTAGTTGAGGCCGTCAATGACGTACTGGTTGTGGTCGATGGCCTTGGTCTTGGACTTGTAGAGGCCCGTCTGCTTGGGCTTCTCGAGGTCGCGAATGTCCCAGATGTACGTGACGGGGAAGCCGTCAGCGGCGGGGCCGCGGGCGCGGAGCTCGTCAAGCTCGTCGTCCATAACAAGGTACTCCTGGTTCTTAGGGTCGAGCACCCAGCCCTGGTGCGTGTAGGCCGCGCCCTCGTAGCTGATGCGCGAGATGATGTTGGTCACGTTGGCCTTGTTGGTGACGTCGTAGATGGTCAGTGTGTCCTCATTGTAGCCGTAGCAGATATCACGGCCCTCGTAGCGCTTGTCGGGGCCGTGGTACACCATGCACTGGGCGTCGTGGACGTATCCGTCGCCGGCCGCGCAGCCCAGGGACTTGGGGTTCGTGGGGTCGGTCAGGTCGAAGAAGTTGAGACCGCTGCGGCAGTTGGGATCAGTGCGAGGCTGCGAGCCGACGGCGGCGAAGTAGTTCAGCTCCTCGTTGACGACAATGTTGTGCTGGTTGCCGCGAGGCATGAGGGCGTTGGTCCAGGCGGCCAGGTCGTTCCTGGGGTGGAAGACGACCGGGTTGGCAGGGTCAATGGTCAGCAGCTTATGCATGTCGAAGATCTGCACGCCGTGGCCAGGCGCCTCGGAGCCGATGATCATGTAGTGCTTGTAGGACCGGATCTCGCGCCACTCGGAAGGGGTCGTCACCTGGGGCAGGCGGCCGAGGTAGGTCATGCGGCCGTCCTTGCCAATCTCGATAAAGGCAGTGCCGTCGTACTGACCGACGGCGACAAACTCACGGTCGTCGTCCGAGGTCCAGCCCCACGAGGAGGACCCCTCGGCGCCGGGGCTGCCGAGAGCAATGTGAGGAAGGAAGTGGACGAGGTCGACGTTGTTGCACCTGAAAGTGTTGTGGCGATCCCCGACGATGGCCTCCGCCCAGCCGTTGACACACTTGGTGGCGTTGAGTTCCGGGTACTGCTCGCTCTTGAAGACGCCAGACTCTCTCGCCGTCTTCCAGAAGTTCTGTGTCCCTCTTGTTAGACGATCCATGCGGAATACGGATTTCAAAAGGAAACTCACCATCTTCCTGTCCATGACGGCCTTGTGGACAAGGCCCGAGTCATAAAGCTCGGCGGCGACAGCCTCATTGACGGCTACCTCTTTGGCCAGGGCCGAAGAGGCAAGCAGGGCGAGGGAGCCCAGGTAGCTGGCGGCGCGAACCATGGCGATGATGCGTAGGACGGAATCGGAAAGATAGGGACGGGCTTCAGAGGGAGGCGAGAAGCGTGCTCGTGAAGACTGCTCTGTCTCGTCGTAAGAGGCCAGAGAGACGCGGTCCTCTTTATATAGGTTGCGCGTCGTCGGGATCTTATCCAAGACAGCAGACGAGGATCGACAGGTCCGCCTGCCCAACAACCTCTAGGGTGACGGCAGGACAGGTCAGACTGCACATTCCACAGACCCCGCCCTTGTGAGCTCGCATCTGAGCAGGCGAGGCAAACTGCCAAGGTCTGCGGGGGTATTCAAGGCCTCTCAATCGTCATGGTAGTTCCGGGGAAGAGGGTTGCAACTTGATGTAGCGCCTGGGCGACTTGTTCGTCCTTCCGAATGTGAATACGAAGCGAGTCGAGGCTAGTCGCCTCCATAGCTCGACTGGAGACCCAAGTGTCCTGTCGACGATAATGACATGGTCGTTCAAAGTGCCATTGGCCAACCACAAGGTGTCTGGAGGGGACGGCATGCTCAAACAAGAAGGTCCCAAGATGTGGTCATAGTCGTCGTGCTTGGCAAGAGCACAGCCATTAGTGATTGCTGTTCAGCGGTCGAGGTCTTGGCGGAGGGGTTCAGCAAGGGGGGCCATGTTGCCTCATGCTGAGAGAAAATAGGGTCAGCCCGCAAGTACCGTGTTCTCCTGCCCCAAACAGATTCTCTGTCAGTGATGATCGCTCAGATATTGAGCAGCCGCAGTGCGAGGCTCACACAATTGATGCAGAAGCATGGATGGTTCCGAATTGAGACGCCAGTAATGTCCCTCCCCCTATCCATGCCAAGAAGAGGTCCGTGACGGTGGCGTTCCTGATGCAAGCCATGCTCTGGTCACGCTTCAGATGCCAGCGACGAGTCGGCGGAGGGCAGCAGTTCAGGGTCGTTGCAGGCTTGAACGATGGAATCATCCAAGGGTGTCTCGGAGGTGAGGCATTGTTCTGTAACCGATCGAGTCGAGATTGGCGACAGAACGGGAAGAGATATATCGGGTTAAGAAGGCAAGGCCAGTGCAGAAGGTTTGGAAACCTCTTGGGTAGGTACCTTCTTGGGTAGGTAGCTTGCCTGCCGACATGAACTTGTCCGGTTGGCTGGCCGTTTGCACCACCGTTAAGGAAGGCACAGTCACTACTGTCATTGAAAACAAGCAGGTGGCTGAGATCAAAGACGTGCAGATCAGGGGTATGCTCTCCGGCGGCAAGACCAACACCGGATCCGTTGCGTTCGGGGGGCCCGAGGGCTGGTTATCGATGTACAGAAACCTGACCGTCTCGGACCCGGACGGCGAGAAACTTTACCAAACAGCATGCAGGCACCCGAAGCCGCGGCCGTTTTTGCCGATTTCCAGGTCGGCGCCAATCCACTGGCCTGCACGGTTGATGGGGCCAAACGGGACCGGGCCTGCTTCGGAGGCGACGTCTTCGTCATGGGCCGCTTGCTGGCGTATGCCACGGCCGACTTGGACGCCTGGAGGGGCTCCATTAGACTGCTCGTGAGCCATCAGACAGCCGAAGGCTAGCTGGGGAACCTCTGCCCTAGCCAGACCCCAGAGCATAGAGACAAGGGCCCGCCTCCGTCTTATGCTTTCCACTCCCTCACGTATGCTTTACTTTTGGTAGTCTCCATCAAGGACTACTGGATGCACGCGGGAGAACGGGAAGCGGTCGAGTCTTGCTTCCAGAAACTGGAGAAGCTAATTCACTATGCGGACAAGTTCACCAACGCGGCAGGCCTCATCGAAGCACCTCCCCACCTGCAGAGTAAAGTCACATTCATCTGTGAAGCCTCAAAGGAATAGACTGACCTGAGGACAGTGACCTGGTTCCCAATGGGTGGCCCGGTATTGGGTGTCTCCTCCGGCCTCAACGTTGCCTACTACGACGCCCTTCTATCCACGGCCGCCATGTCCGAAAACGAACTTTCCCGTTCCTGGTACTTGTTCAGAGCCAGCACGTTGAAACGCGCAATGACCGAGCAACTCTGGAACGACGAGCTCGGTATCCTCCAAATGGGCGCGTCGCTGCCCGCAGACGGGTTCAGCCAGGATGTCAACGCCTACGCGCTCACAAAGACCATTGTGCCCCCCTCACCCGAGACTCCTCGAATGCCTGTCTCCCTCCTCCGGAGACCTCCCCGCCGCTTTCCAAGACCTCGGTCACTGGGGCGGGTCTGGCGTCGCCAGTCCCTACGCATCTGGGTTCGCCGTCGAAGCGCTCTTCGCCCGAGGTGAGGCCCGGCCCGCCGTGGATCTGCTCCGGACAGTCTGGCATCCCATGTCCGCCTCGACGGGGCCCGACCTACTCCGGCGCGCACTGGGAAGCGATGAAGCTCGACGGCTCGCCGCTGGTGCACGACGTCTCGCTGGCGCACGGGTGGGCCATGTGGCCCGTCCATCTCCTGCCCAGGTACGTCGCCGGTTTGTACCCGCTGACTCCCGGATGGAGGGACATTGGTGTCGAGCCTGTGTTGGCCGACCTGAGCTTTGTCGAATGCTCCGTCGCCACGCCTGCGGGCGAGGTGCGCATACCCTTGGTGCAGCAGGACGACAGGTCAAGCGGGACGCTCTCTGTGACCATCCCGGCGCACTCCAGAGCCGTCGTCAAGCTGCCAAATGGCTGGGCTTTGGAAGGGTCGCAGGAAATAGCAGGAGACGGCCAGGCGGTGACACGTTCTTTCCACAAACTATCATGACAGGGCATCGATTCTGTGTGAGATGCCGAGCGATTGCCGTTCGCATGTCCATCGAAACATCTAGAGTTGCCAAATGAGGCGAGCTCCAGGGTATAACTGATTATTGGTCGTCGACAGTACGTTGCCGGCTCCTCATCTCTATCGCTTTGTCTAAACATTAAACATTTGCATACTGTATTCATCATTCCGACACCCTTCATCTTAGACCTGCTCGACCTGTCGAACCTCTTGTACTTCTTGGACGACCTGTACTTCGGGGCCTTCTATCTTCTTCACCTTGCGGCCCTCCCACCACGACATGAGCCCAGCCGCCATGGCAACACCACAGCCAAGTGCAATGAACGTGCCCGTCGCCCAGGACTACACGGCAAGGATCAGCGACAGAAAAAAACAGATTCCTGTGGAAGGGGCGCACTCACCGGACGGTCGAACCGATTGTATCCCCACATGAAGCCGCACAGCACGGCCTGCAGAAACGTGTTGAGCACCATCATCCAGATGGTGAAGCCAAGCTTCCAGAGGGGCGTCGGTGGCGCCCTCTTGCCGGTGAACGTGCTGGCGATTTCGGACGAGTCCTCGTCCACAACGATGCCGTCGCCTCCATCCCCGGCAGCCCACGCGGGCGGCCGGAACCAGGACTTGTTTTGGTTCGCCAACTTGCGCATGGCGGTTTGCTTTTTAAAGTTGACGGCCCTGATGTAGTAATACAGGTCGCGGAACCGCCACGGGGCCAGGCCGAAACCCGTGACGCAGAAGAGGGCGTTGAGAATCTGGCTGGAAATCTCGAGCCAGATCTTGCGCGGCGAGTTGTCGGCATCTGCAGACGGGTGGTTCATCGCAGGAGCGGCCTTGAGCAAGAGGAAGAAGAGCATGGCGCCCCATGCCTGTGCATCGTCAGCAAAGGGCCCGTGTCAGTAGAGAATCCTAGAGAGGTACGCACCACAATGTTGAGGCCATAGATGGTGATCAGAAAGCCTGAGGGTGTGATGAAGAATTTCCAAAAGGCTTTGAGTCCGTTCATGATGGTCGGCCCCCACTTGGCCTTCTCCTGGGTCGTGCGCATTTCGTGAAGACTTTTGCGTCGCTTGAGGTCCTGGCGAGGTGGTTCGATGACGCCTTGGGTGTTGGTGATGTCCTCGGGGGCGTCGAGGACGCCGTGGGCCGCGGCGACGTCGTTGGGGCGGGTGTCCATGGGGTCCACCTCGGGGATGGGTTCGGGGCTTGTCTCCTGCTGACCAGGGCCGAAGCCGGATTGGCGTCTGGTGACCCAGCTGCTGACCAAGGCGAGCTCGCCGTCGGGCTCCTCCCGGGCGACGCGGGTTGAGTGGCCTTGTGCGTTGAAGGCGATGTGGTCGCCGCCGAGCTCAGGGTCGCGCAGCTCAGTCAGATTTGGTGCCTGAGCGATTGCTGTGCCGGTAGCTTGCCACATGCCCAGCTGAGGGTTTGCGTTGATCAGCGAGATGGAAGCACCGCGAACACGACCGACGAGGCTTCGGTTGCTCGTGCTTGTGGTGCCTATGGTGCCTATGGTGCCTGTGCCTGTCGCGGATCTCTCGGGTGGGCCGGGACGGCCGGCACTTGTTGAGTCGGTCGTCGGCCTCCTGACAGGACTGAAAGCAGCTGGTTCCGCCATGACGGGACCCCGTGGACTGCCAAGTATACTGTGTTCTTTTCGGGAATTGACGGGGAGAATGGAAAAAGCCCAGAAAGCGAGGACCCAGGGTCCCAGGGGGATGGGAAGGGAGGAAGGGGGATGCGAGTGCTAAAGTAGAATTGGCGTCTCAGGGTCGTGGCATGACTTGCCGTCGCATGCCAGCGTTCGCACGCACCGGGACCAGCACCAGCGCCAGCGCCAGCGCCAGCACCAGCCGCCTGAGACCCGTTTTTGCCTTTGTGGGCAGCCAGTTGGCCGGGACCCCGGGGCGCCCTTGCTCCCGCAACCATCCATCAGGTCATGCGCATCGGAATGGAAGTCTCGACCGCTGAACTGACGCTTGCGCCTGGCGCCTGGCGCCTGCCGACTGCCAAACCCATCTCAACCCGCGGTTTCCCTCGTTTTCTTGGGCACTGGCGAAACCGAGGCGTGGTCTCGGTCTCGGTGCGCGGCAAGCAAAGCAGGTACGCCTCCCTCGGAACGGCTGGCTCCTGCTCCCATAATTATTAACGTGACTCAGCGCACTGCAGTGTCCGTCTCCTGCCTGCAGCTGAGTGAAGCTTGCCCCGACCAGGGGGCGAGAAGGGGACTTCTTTCCTGTCCACGGCGCGCGCCGGCCACTTCCTGTTCTGCAGTGACTGGTTGACCCACCCCGACGTCCCCGACGTCATCTCAATGTAGACGCCAATCACCAAACTCCCATCGTAAAAGTACTTGTACGAGCATCCGAGAATGTCAAGGATGCTAAAAAGCTTGCCCAGGGCGGCGAACCAACCAACCATTGGCCCCGTGCCCCGCTGTCTAGGCCCGTGCCTGAATCAGCCCCAGAGCCACTAGTCAACTACCATCTCTACCTAGGTGCCTTACACTATTCACCGGTGCCGACGGATGCGGTTTGGATTGCAAACTCTGGTGGCCGGCTTATTCGGACACGGTCATTACAGCCCATCCGTCATCAACCTGAAATGAACCTTCACTGCCAGCTGAATGACCGCGTTGCGTTGTCCGCGGCGAGTTTCCTTATTTACAGCCCGCGGTGACCAACTTGTCACACCTCGGCATTAACCCACGATCCCCCCCCACGCCTTGCCGGCCAAAACCCACAGCCATCGTCATTCATCAATCAACATTGTATATCTCATCCACCGCGCTTTTTCGTCCCAATACCAGACACACATATACGACAGACACGCGCTCGCTCCGATAACAGACACACATACGACAGACACGCGCTCGCCCCGATAACAGACACACATACACGACAGACACGCGCCCGCAAGCCCCATTCTGCCGGCACAAACCTGACAGTAACGCTGCGACAAACGCTGGCAAGTCGCCATGGCCCTCGATCGCATCTCGTCCCGAGGCCTCGGCCACATCGCCCTCGACGATGCCAACGACAACCCAACCGCATCCAGCAACGTCGGCAACGATGGCCGCGTCAACGTCCAGTTTCACGCGAGCCCCAAGATGCTTGCCGGATGGGTCTCGCGATTTCGAGGCAACTTTTGCGATCGTCCACCGCCCAGACACCCGCCAAAAGTCCGGAAGGGGAGTTACATACCCTTCGACGACGACGAATCCCACTGCCCGCGCCTGCCTCTGTGCATCGCCATCCACATTGTCGGGTCTCGAGGCGACGTGCAGCCTTTCATCCCCATCGCCCAGCTCCTTAAATCAACCTATGGCCACCGCGTACGCATCTGCACTCACCCTGTCTTCAAAGACTTTGTCGAGTCCAATGGCGTGGAATTCTTCAGCATTGGCGGCGATCCCGAAGCTCTCATGGCCTACATGGTGAAGAACCCGGGTCTGTTGCCCAGCCGCGAGAGCATGCGAGCCGGCGACATTAGCAAGAGGCGCGCCGAAATGTCCGAGATCATCAACGGCGGCTGGCGCAGCTGCATCGAGGCTGGCAACGGCATGAGCAGGCAGCCCCTCAGAGCGGCGAACGTGCCCGACCCAAAAGATCTCTTCATCGCCGACGCCATCATTGCCAACCCGCCCTCCATGGCCCACATTCATTGCGCCGAGAAGCTCGGCATCCCGCTGCACATGGTCTTTACCATGCCCTGGTCGCCGACCGAGGCCTTCCACCACCCGCTGGCCGCCATGAACTATGGTGATTCGGACGCCAAGCCCGCCAACTACCTCTCCTTCATGGTCATGGAGCTTCTGACGTGGCAGGGGTAAGTTGCGGTTTCCCAGAGTAAGCATTGAACCGTGCACTGACTGTGACAGCCTCGGCGACATCATCAACAAGTTCCGCATGCAGACGCTGCACCTGGACCCCATCAGCCCAATGTGGGGTTGCAACCTACTGCCACGCCACCGCGTTCCGTTCACCTACCTCTGGACCGAGAGTCTGATCCCCAAGCCCGACGACTGGGACTCGCACATCAAGATCACGGGCTTCTCCTTCCTGCCCATGGCCAGCAGTTACACACCACCCGACGACCTGGTGGCCTTCCTCAAAGACGGGCCAGCCCCCATCTACATCGGCTTCGGCTCCATCGTCGTCGACGACCCCCAGGCCCTGACCCGGCTCATCTTCGAGGCCGTCAGGCAAGCGGGCGTTCGCGCCATTGTGTCCAAGGGCTGGGGTGGTGTCGGTGCCGGGGATGTCCCGCCCAATGTTTATCTCATCGGCAACTGCCCGCACGACTGGCTCTTCCAGCATGTCTCAGCCGTGGTCCATCACGGCGGCGCCGGCACCACGGCGGCTGGCATTGCCGCCGGCCGACCGACGGTTTGTTGTCCCGTTCTTCGGCGACCAGCCGTTCTGGGGCAAGGATGATTGCGCGCGCCGGTGCCGGCCCGACCCCTGTGCCGTTCAAGGCCATGACGGCAGAGACCCCTCGCTGCGAGCATCACGTTCGCCCTCCAGCCCGAGGTGCAGGTCGCCGCCGAAGTCATGGCCGAGCAAATTCAGGAAGAGGACGGCGCCGGCGACACGGTGAGGGACTTCCAGCATCGCCTCAACGTCGATGAGCTGCGCTGCGACATCTTCCCGGAGAGGCTCGCCATCTGGCGACACAAGAAGACAAACGCTCACCTCAGCAATTTTGCCGTGGGCTGCTTGGTCAACGAGAACCTGATTCAGTCGCACGACCTCAAGCTGTTGCGCCACAAGCTGTGGTACATTGACGAAGGCGCCGAGCATCCCATCATTGGCGTCGTCGCGGCAACGGCCGGTTTCTTCACGGCTCTCGGCGTGGCCACTTCCGACTATACGCGCCGTCTCAAGGCGCGGCCCAACGTGCTCAGCGGAAAGATAACAGCGAGCCTGAACACGGCGCCGGCTCCACCGCCCCCTGCCACCGGCGACGCTGAGAAGACGAACGACGATCCTGCGCCACCCAGCACTGGCGACGCAGGCACAAATGATGACATCGGGGCAATCTCCCAGGCGCAAATGGAGGCGTTTGCGCATAGGATGGCCACGAAGACGTTGCGGAAAGACGACCGCGTCACGGCTACCGATCCGCGGGCTGTAACGTCCCATGAAAAGCGGAAAGCGAGCTGGGCCGCCCGAGAGGAGGGCAAGTACGGCCGCGCCTTCTACGTGACGCGCGCCACCGGTCGATACGTGGCCAACCTCACCAAGATCGGACTTAAGGCGCCCGTCGCGATGATGTACAATATCGCCAACGGCTGCCATAACTATCCATCGTACGGCAATTTCGGCGTCCCCGTGAGGCCACGAGACCCAATCACCGGATTCGGCACCGGTCTCAAGGCGGCTGGCAAGGGGTTCTACCTGAGCGTGTGGGATGCCTTCAGTGGCGTTGTCGTCCTGCCGTACCGCGGCGCGAAGGAAGGAGGCGCAATCGGCACGGTGAAAGGCATCTACCAAGGCGGACGCGGTTTCACTTATAATCTTGCATCAGGTACGTCGCCCCGTTTCGCGCTGACCTTGGCTCATGGAACTCTGCTAACACGATGTAGCACTCTTTGCTGTACCAGGATATTCAATGAAGGGCATTGAGAAGGAATACTCAAGGCACCATCTGACCAAGATGAAGGCCGAAATCATCCTCATCCGAATTAGGCAGGGCATCGAGGAATTCAGAGAATCCACCCAAGAAGAGAGGGACGAGGCAGTGGCGCAGTGGAAGCGGTTGCGGGCGTTATAAGGGCTTCGATTTGGGCTCGTAATGTAGTAGATATAGCAAGATACCCCTTTGATTCTCTTCAGGTTCCTGGAAATTAGCCTTGTCAATCCAACGTTTGATGCATCTACTCCTGCGACTGAAGGTGGCTCAAATATATAAGGCGAGGGCTGGCGTTCACGTTTTGGTCTGTTCTGCAAGAAGACTTTCAAATGCCATGCTGCTGTATCTCTTTCTCGGGCGACGGGCAGGGTTCCGTTGGTCGTAAGAGTGTTGACCCAGGCCAGAATCAGACTTTGGCGGCACATGCACTCATCGAATGATTTTGACAGCGTGTGTCTCAACTTCCTGGTCCAACTGTGCGGCTTCAGAGCGATCGTAATGTACGCATGAGACAGAGTGCGATAGCCAAGTAGGCATTGTATCGGTTGCGAGTGGATTTGGTCGGATATCTCGGTTTTGACCTGGGATCGCAGGCGCTCTCATATACTTTGCTGGAAACAAGCGGTTGTAGATCTGTTAAAATTGAGCCGGGGGGCCTGCCACCGCCTAATAGAAAGCCATGGTGGTGCCACCAGTACAAGCCATAGCGGGGAAGCTGGGGTAAGAAAGGACTGCCAAGAAGATGGAATTGGACTGCTGATGCTTGCGACAGCTCAAATGGGGAACAGCTTCTCCCCTTTCGTCTCTGGGGCGCAGGCGATCTAATTATCCGTCTGTGTTCGCTGAGGTTGACCCAAGTTTGAAGTCGTACGGAAAAGACTGCGTCTTGTACTTGGTGATGAAAGCTCTACCTGCATGAGCAGGTCACAACTCTAAGCGTAAGGTTTTGTAGATCTCGTTGGTCACATCCTTCGTCATTGCGGCCACTGGTGGCGTGATGCTGCCAGGCGCCCTGTCTTTTCGCAACCCGCCATGTGCCGTGTGTTACTATGTAGTAGAGGCTAGAATTGTCTGTCAAGAGCTCAGGATGACGGTGAGGAGGTCAGGTCATTGTAGGCTCATGCTAATCGCCTTTCCATGCGATAAGAAGCTTACCGGTCTCGCCCACAAGACAAGTAGCGCCGTCCAAAGGTGAGCGACGGAGTTATTACCAGTCGCCAAAGATGTCAAGAGAAACAAACGGCTTCTCATCGTCCAAGCGCGGCAGGGGCGCGGGAAACGGGCATCTCTCCGCATAAGTAGCCAATGCTCGGCAGTTCCACTGTGGTCACCCACTTGCAAGTTTCGGGAGGCTCGGGGTTTGCTGCAGCACCACACCCACCACAGATGGACAGGTGAAGTCATCATCGTGTCGACCGATTGCGGGAGGCATCCGGTGGCTGTGTTGGATGTGATGAACTTGAGATATTTTATCGCCAACAAAGAAGCTTGAATTCAGGCTTATTGAGCCAGTGTCAGCATCGCGTAAGGGGTAGACGCGTCAGCTAGATCGAAACTTGGATGGACCATCTTGCCAGCCTCGTCTGGACCACGAAAGAGGGGGCGGTGGGTGATTCCACCTTGGAGAGGAGGGGGCGGCCAAATTTCGCCGGCCCTGAGGGCTTGGGACCCCCAGTATTTACATCCCGCCGGACTCGTGGGATCGATCAGTGGGTCGTCCGGGGATTTTGATGATCGGAGGACAGCCGACTAAACACCCCTGCCACGTGGTTGCCGGACGCATTGTGCTGGCTGGTATTGACTTTCGGTTTCGGATAGATACCAACGCGGGAGGTCGATCGCTGTCAGACGAGTTAAAAGTTCATCGGGACGCGAAACTTTGAACGGCAGAAAAATGATGTGTCCAGGGCTGACGACCTACAGACGTTGGATCGTCTCATCAAACTCAATCAGCTCGTCACGTCGGCCCTCGGTGTCGTGAGCAAAGCCGCCTGGCTGTGAGTGGCCGCAACCAATGTCGCAAAGGATGTCGTCTTGGTCGATATAGCGTTCGTTCAACCGAATAAAAGCATCCATGACGACATGACTTTGGGCAAGCTCGCTAAGGAGCTTCGTCTTAGTCAGGGGAACGCCGTATTGGGACGCAACGGAGCTTCACGATTGGCTGGTGCCACAGCAAGTGCATCCTCCAAGACCCCTGCCCTTGGCGCCTGCCCCCTTCCTGCGTCCCTGCCCGTCTGCAGAGCGGCACTTGCTAAGGAACAGGCAGGTTCGAACCTGAGAAGTGTGGACGCCTCCTTCCTCCGGACCAACGAGCTGCTTCCCACGATGGGATAGGTGAAATCGACAATGGCCATCGCGGTGTCTATGGTGTGTTTTGGTGGGATCGGCGCAAGCTCCTTCCTGGCCCTGATCGTGTTACTGAACCTGCACAGCCCCTGGATGTAACACTTTGTCCTGGGTTGGGCCACCTTGGCATTGTCATTGACTGCCCTGTCATTGCGAGCTCACTGATGACTTGGCAAGGCAGTGTATTGTCGAAGCTGTTTGCCCGCGTGTACTTCAAGGGGAGCTCCCGCCTCCAAAAGACGCCATCCAGACATTGATTCGACATCTTGCATCACCTCCTCTCAGAGCTCATCCACCAGCCTCTATCACGCAGCTGCCCTCTAGACTCTCTACACAACATACATACATTCTCACACAACGAACATCATATTCAAGATGAAGTCTTACGCCCTTCTCCCGTTCGCTCTGTCGGCCCTCGTCGCTGCCCAGGATGCTCCCTCGCTCGCTGAGGCCCTCGCCTCGCAGAACGACACCCTCTCTTCCCTCGGCAGTGCGTAGTTACCAATATCAACATTGGAACCTCATACTAACGTGCACAGGCCTCCTTGCTAGCCAGCCTGCCCTCGTCGAGGCCCTCTCCGGCCTGACCAACATCACCATTCTCGCTCCCAGCAACGACGCCCTGAACGCTCTTCTTCAGGATACCGCTGTTGCTCAGCAGGTTACCTCTGACCCCAGCCTCGTGGCCGCCATCCTGCAGTACCATGTCCTGAACGGTACTTACCGCGCTGCCGACGTGCCTGATTCGGCTGTCTTCGTCCAGTCTCTCCTGTCCAACGAGACCTACGAGCAGGTTGCTGGCAGCCAGGTTGTCGGCGCCGTCGCCGAGGACGACTCGGTCACCTTCTACAGCGCTCTCAAGGCCGAGTCCACTGTCACCCAAGCTGTGAGTGCATAATCAGCCCCTATCGCTTCAGGAGTATAGCTGACAATTCCCGCAGGACCTTGAGTTCGCCGGTGGTGTCATTCACATTATCGACAGGGTTCTGGCCATCCCTGCCAACGTTGCCGACACGGCCACCGCTGCCAACCTCACCTCGCTCGTCGAGGCTGTGACTAAAGCCAACCTCGCCGAGACGCTCACTCAGGCTGAGAGCATCACGGTTTTCGCCCCCAACAACGAGGCTTTCGCCGCTCTCGGCTCCCTCGACGATATCAGCGAGGAGGACCTTCAGGCCGTCCTGCAGTACCACGTCATTGCCGGCACCGTTGCCTACAGCAGCACCCTTTCCGAAGGCACTGTTGAGACTCTTACTGGCGAGACTGTCAACATCTCTATCCGTGACGGCAACGTCTTTGTCAACGATGCTCAGGTTGTCCTTGCCGATGTCCCGATCTCCAACGGTGTCGTCCACGTCATTGACAGGTACGTTCTTTCAGCGTCCTATTCTCGCACTCCATCTTGTTAACATGATTCTCTGCAGCGTCCTTTCCCCCGCCGAGAACACTACCGGCTCTGGCGAAACCAGCTCTGCCGTGCCTTCGCCCACCGCCGTCCCTGAGGCTGCGGCTCCCCGTGCCGAGGCTGCCATCGCCATTGGCGCTCTTCTCGGTGGTGCTGCTCTCGCTCTGAACATGTAAGCGTTGCCAGCGCTATTGTATAGGAACTTTGGAAAAGCGTGTCAAGGTGACGTTGTTCGTTGCCTCGGCAAGGATATAATGGGAGTGGCAGAGGGATACGGTGATGACAAGTCGTCTATGGCATCTTGTTGTGCATCATGTACATCTAGCGATATAACATGACATTTGAATTGAAGACGATGCTTGCCAAATCTTGAAAAACTCTACCTGGACCTTTATGCCATACTGTCAGGAGACCCTGCGGGCCCGCCATGCAGGGGGTCGGTCAGGGTCTAAGGGCTACGAGAACTGTATATATATAAGATAGGCTGCGGAGGGCCCTCCAAGCCGCGGAGGGCCAGAATTCAGATCTATTACAACCCTATACCTACACTCTACCACCTGCGAACTACGTACGGAAGACCTCTTCACTCTGCTCTATCCAACGCTCTGACACATACACCCAAGACGCTGCGTACCAAGACCATTGCAACTGACGTGCCGAGAACCTAGGGCGTCATCCCCAGAGATGGCAAAGAAATGGGTAATCTTTAGAAAAGAATACCTATGCACATGGTCTCTAATTGCCACACCACGGCATATTGTACATATGATCGGTCCTCTCGGCTGTTGATCTGATAATTGTGAGACCAAGGGTTGCGAGGTCTTATGTCTAGAAGGACAAGAATCAGAACACCAGCTCCATGTGATTACTGAGCTACATCTGACGGTACGCTACGTGGTACTAGGTAGTAGGCATAAAAACTAGCATTCAACCATATATGCCATCGAGCTCTGTTTAGTAGCTCAGATGCACTATCAAAACTGGCGTGTGTTGAACCAGCATCGGATGCAACTTTATTGACAGGAAAACATGGCATGCGGGGTGTTGCAACGTTTCCTGTCCGCAGCAGGAACATTCCTTCCAGCGCAGCTCTGATCCTGCATCTGCCGCGTGGTGAATCGCCCTCGCATGCGTCTGCTGTGTCACGTCAAAGTGCCCAGAACCATAAACTCAGGGGGTGGGCCTTTTGGGATCGACGTGCCTTGGTGGGTCGCCCTGTAGGGCTGGCTCGCTGCGGGGTTGGAGGGGGACATGTGTACAAGTACCTGACCAGGCTGAGCTTTGGCCTTGAGGACGTCCTGGGTTGCACCTGGCACGGCGACACTTCATCTGGCGGGTTCACGAACCCATCACGCGGGCCTCATTTTCGGCGATCGGAAAGCAAAAC